CAAGGACTCGGCGGTGCTCATGCCGCATTTGCTCGGAGAGCGATTGCTGCCCCTCAGCTGCGAGAGTCACACTGCCACCCAGCGCGTACAACTCCTCCAAGCAGCCTTGGTAGTGGTGCTCCCATGTAAGACGGGCCTGCGAGTAAGAATCCTGACATCAGTGATTCATGCATCTTTATGTATCTTCCAAAGGTGTGCATCCCATTTGCTCTTTACAAAAACTCCACCAGTATGCACATCCTGTCATGTCTTGTCCTGTCATGTCATAAGTCACATGTCAAATGTCCTATCATGTCATATGAACAAGCACCAGTACAGCCAACTGAAGGTGCAGAGTGGAGCAGCACCGGGATGGTGGGCGCGCTTGTTGATGCCCCCTCAGACGATGTCTGCCGCTGCTCCCGGGCAGACCCCTGCGTGCAAAACAAACAATCTGCTTGCATACTTTCTTCTGAGGCAGCTCTTTACTCTGAGTCCTCTGAGCACCTCCTTCTCACTAGCATACCCATTGATACTTATTCCATGCTAGAGAAGAGCCTTCAAAAAGGACCAACACACCTCTGCTTCGTCACTTGCGCCTGCACCAGCGCCGCCTTGGAGAGGATCCTGGCCTGCCGGTGATGGGACGCCTCCTGAGCCACCGCCACCCTGCACCTGATTCATCAGCCAATAAGCGAGCATGCAAAGCATTGCAGACTGCAGGATATATCAAGATGGCATCTCCCCAGAGAATCAGTAGAGACAGGTGCAGCAACTAGGAGGGGTGCATTTTACCTGCAACTCGGGGGCTTTGATTTGGGCAATCTCCTGCTTGAGGGCCCCCGTGGACTGCCGCAGTTGTGCCAGCAGTCGAGCAGCCCTCCTATGCCACTCAAGCAGCTGCTTGGGCAACCTGCGCTCCTTTTTTCGCTGCCAAGCCATCGCCTGCACATGGACCAACATTGTCACTTCTCGCACCTACAGGGTTACAAACTGCAACATCGAGCAAGGCTACAAGAGCTTGCATCATATGAAAGGAGAACTCACCAGGTCCGTCATGTAGTCCTCCCGCGTGGCAGTCGCCATGCGCTTCAAGATGTGTGCAAATTTCCTGTAATGTGCCCAAGCCTGTTCAATGTTGTCACCAAAGGAGTTTCCTGCCGCTAGCATGCGGCGGGCGCCATACTTTTCTTGGCATGCCGGAATGTGAGCCTTCACATGCCACGGCCCCACTGCCAGGCCAGGCATACCCTCCACGTTTCCTTGAACCATCCTGCCAGCACAACACATCACCATTCAAAGGGGACGCTGCTGTGCACTCCGACGAATCCACACACTCATAGCATGACTAGTACTAGACACTAGGAGTGAAATTGTTCCATGCAATAATTGTACAGGGCACATCTTGACGTAAACGCCAGGCATGATGGACGAAAGATTATACCTTCGCCAATATGGGTCAAACTGGCAAGCAATGTCAATGAAGAAGTACTTCAGATCCTTGCCCTCCTCAGGCTTGAACTCCTTCAGCAGACGCTGCAGGAGCAACTCGTAGTAAACAAAGCACTCCGGTGTGAACAGGTTTGCCGCCACGAGAACATACCCGTGGCGGCAAACTGCTGCTGCCACGCCCTACGCACAAGCACATGCGGGAGTGTCAGACCGGCTCCAAAGCACCAGCACATCTTCTTGTTACACGCTTTCCTGCCAAGCAAGGTACATCCTGCAGAGCTGCAATTTAAGGCTGCCATAACCCTACCCCTTGTTGAACTCGCCAGATCCAAGCAAGACCCAATCAACCGTGGGCATGGTATTCAGTATTTTTACCACCTGAAGCAAGGCACGCTAGGGTGCTGCCAAGTATTACCCTTGCCAGCCGGGGCCAGGAAAAAAAGAGAAAAAAATCATGGATATATGAGATGCATGCCAACATCAGTAAGCGCAACAAGATCCCAGAAAAATGCGAGGAGACTCACTTGCACATATAGGCGCAGCTGCGTGTCTGAGGCGGTTGGCGTGGCAGCAACGAACTGAGAGCAGACCGGCCGCTCCAGCGCCGCCGGGTCCAAGGCCTTCCGTTGAGCGAGCAAGGCCTTCACCTCTTCATCAGCAATGAAGGGGCTATAGGGCAGCTTCGGCTGCAGGAAATCAGAGGCTTTGCCCGCCGCCCTGAGCTGCGTGAGTCCCAGGCAGGCGTCAGCAATGGCTGCCACGCAAGTGCGAAAGCAGCAAGGACACTGCACAGTGGGGCCCCCGGAGGCACGACTGTCCAGAGATTCCTGGGTCGCCGGGCCCACCTCAGCTGCATCTCTGCCAGTTTGAGCCGCGAGGCTGCCTGCTTCCATTTCTGGTGGCGATGACGACGCTGCTGCTTCCCTCTGAGTGTTCTCCTGGGGCGGCGGCGGCTGGCCGAGCTGCAAGTCTGAGTCACCGCTGAGCCCTGCCTCCGAACAGATGGGCTGCACGCCAAGCCTGTTGAGGTCATGTGTGGCGATGTCCATTCTGCGCCACTGTCTGACCGCCACTGGGAGGTTCCTCCAGATATTTTTGGGCAGGCCACTCAGTTGCCCGTACGGCACACAGCCGTTCCTGACGTGCACCTCCTCCAGGGCGCTAGTCCAGGCGACCATTGAGGTTGGGCTGGCGAGGCTGAGCTCATGCGTCTGCAACATGAGCGCTCCAGAGTAGTAAACCAGCGGCCTCTGTGGCGTTGCAGGAAAGCATCCCATGCTCACAGGATCGACTGTGAAGGCGGCACTGCACCCGCCACACCTGAATGCTGGGGGGCTGACCTCTGTCCTGCCGCTGATCGAGACATACACAAGCCTGCTGATCGTCTCCACCTGCTCCCACACTGATCCCACCCTCCCAGCCTGACTGCATGGACTGCAAGCGGGCAGGGCTGCTCTGGCAGCTGTCAAAAACTCTGCCTGCAGCTGCTGCTTCAGTGCTGCTTGGCGTGCAGGCTGACCAGCTTGGAAACATGTGTTCCTGAATACATTGTCATCAAAGCACGCATCCCATGCTTGGTGCAGCCGTCTATTATCCTCTTGAGCTGCCTGTTTCCGCAGACGCCGGCGTGAGGGCGGAGGCTGATAATAGGCAGCAGCGGCTTCTCCATCTCCATCTGCAAAGCCATCCTGCTGTTCTTCCTGCTGAGCTGTGTTTCTTGCAGGGATCCGCCAGGATGGAAGGGCGCTGGCCGGCCTCCGGGGTCCCCTCGGTGCAGATGTTGCCACAGTGCTGCCTAGGTTCCTCCCAAATCTGCGGCCTGGCTGCAGCAGAGCAGGAGTGTCGGCTGATGGTATCACCTTGACACTGACCCTCCACCTCTTGTTCCTGACCATTCGTCCTGCATGAAGTCATCACACAACGGTTTCTGCAAGTGATCCACCAGGACATTAAAGGAATGAGAAGTACATCAGCAGCATGCCTTCTAGTACAAGTGATACAACTATCCTTACAAGCACCTGGGCTACTTGCTACTCTTTGGGGTGCACAGTCCTCTCCAGATGCTCCTCATCAGATTGGCATTCCAAGCAAAGCCAGGTCAGGGCAGACACCCACGGCTACTCACAGCAGCAGAGGGATCGTAACGCTCACCAGAACAATTGAACTTGATGTTGGTTTAGATTGTAGACGACTTCAGTGTCTGTCCGGTGCATCAGTGCTCAATTCAGGTGAACGCTCTGTGTTGCCTGCACGCATTTCATTTCAAGGAATTGGCTTGGCAGGGCATGCAGTCACTACGAAAGAAGTAGACATGCACGTCGATGGTCGTGACATTCGATTAGCTGAGTCCAAACAAGTCAAGGATGGGGATGCCAAAAAACCGGCAAAAGTGCGAACCTCACATGGCCAGCGACAGAAGACTTCAAGAATTCGTTTAAATTACTCCCATAAACATTTGCGGCCGTCCCACCCCCCTTTCAAATCCTACTTTGCAACGGTAACCTGGCAAATGGCATTGCTGTCTTCGCAGAAACGAGTAGCGCACGATCCTATAGATACAGGCTTGACCGAAATAATTAGCTTGACGGAGGTACTATGCAATGCTGAGATTGTTGTAGGTAAATCTGAAGGATGTGCAGCATTGCTTTTGTTATTGCACGCCCCGAAGGGGCGTGCTCAGAAAGAGAGCCAAATCCACTAATGTAGTGGAGTGCATGTCCACTAAAGTAGTGGATTTTGCCCGACAGAGTAGGATGGCATCTGGGTCAACAATGATTCTCGCGCATCCGGTCAAAACCTTTGACAGAAAGACATTGGGGCCATCGTGTTGAATGGTGTTAACGCGGGGATCAAAGCGTGGAGCTCACTCTCCCAATAACGAAAGGTCTTCTCCTTGCAAGGTGATGCTTTTCAACTATTGCTTACCAATCGTGATCTCCTTGCAAGAAAGCTGTGTGCAAAATTCCTCCTCTTTTTGGATCCTTTGGATCGGTTAAAACAGGAAGAAAGGAGCATAATTTATGCGGATGTCTTGTTCTTGACGTTCCCATAGCTGGAAGATTTCGACATGCAGCACCTCTATGTGTTATCGTACAGCGATGTTGAATCACGTAATAGCTTCCATGCAGATGGCAGAGGATGTCAAAGCCTCTAAGATCGGGCAGGCCGCGGGAAGGAGCATGACAATTAATGATCTTCCTGAGGAGATGCTTCAGCGCATCAGCAGTCACATGGCCACGAAAGACTGGGCGCGGGCATGTAGGGTATCAAAAAAATTCAACGAAGTGACACCTCCCGTGCTAGAGCTGAAAGGGCTTGCAGAGCTCCTGTGGGCCGTGAAGAGGTGGTGTCAGTCGTCCAGCATCACCCTTACTTTTGATGAGACAGCCTCACAGATGGGTGTGTGCTTGGGGAGATCTGAACCACTGCAGAACATGACTACCTTTAAGATCAAGGCCCCGTTCCTGAGCACCATTCAAGATAAGATGGCTTCAACCCAGGCTGGCATCATTGTCACAGGAGCGCTAATGCGCACATTTTGGCACAGCTCTAGATCATCTACACTGACCTTACATGCGCAGTTTCTCGCCGTACTGCCACCGTCGCTCGTGCAGCTGCAGGATCTCACTCTGCGGATGTTCCCAACTCCAATTATGCTGGAGGAGACGTTCTCTGCCTTGGAGCAACTTACAAATTTGACCAGCTTGAAGTTGCTGAAAGTCCAGATGGTTAGAGAGTTGAAGGTGCCTGGTCTGTCATTGGCTGGCCTTCCTCTGAGGAAGCTGGCTCTGAGATGTGTCATTCCAAGCAGTCTCACCATTCCGGATCGCTGCATGTTGGATGTCACGGAGCTGGGTCGGGCCAATGCATTGCAGTTCTGTGAGCAGCATAAAGAAGCTTTAAATCTGTATAAGTACAAGAAAATGGTTGCCATGATTGAGGTGCCAGCATTCATACCCTCTGCTTGCAACCTGAAGTTCCTCATTCTAGAATGCAGCTCTTTTGGAAGCTCTGAAGCCCCATTGGAGGTGCACAGGCTGATGAAGTTGCGAGCCTTGAGTCTCAGTGCTACTGATGTCCATGTTGAGCTTGGCGACTTGCCATCTCTGTTCCGCTTGACTTTGAGTTCAAAAAATTTGTTGAATGTGAGGCTGAGGGATCCACCAGAGGATGTCGCAGGCAAGCTGAAGAAATTCTCCTTCAGCTACAAAAATGTGCAAGGCTATGGCCTCATGAGCTTGCTGCAGTCTCTTGCGTCAAAAGGGTCACAGTGGGATGCCGCAACGGATGGAGCCATGACCACAGTCAGTCCCAAAGCAAGCTAATTAGTAACGAGCCTATTGACCTGCAGGAACAGCTGATATGTTGGTATTGTGTAATGAATCAAGGATTTAGCAGACACCAAGGAGCTGGCTGTACATGTACTGTAGCACTGGATTCAATCCAGTGGATTGTGAAATTGTTGAATGAAATCCATTTTGAATGGCCCATGTGTGAATCACTACAATACACACAAGACAATGCTATCCCTCTCATCCATATCCAAGGACGAGAATGCATGATTTAATTGAACATTATACGCTGCCCATGCAATTTATTTGTTTACACATTCACATGCCAGCCAATCTCGCGTCCTGCTCACCACCTTGCTCAGCATCTGCACCAATTCGTCATTTTTCTCACACCCAAGCACATCCGCCAGAGACACATCCACCTCCTCTCGGCCTTCAACACACTTTCCACACATTGCTGTTTTCCCCACAGCACTCTTCGCACAGCACTGTTCACAACCCTCGACACTGCAACAACTCTTAGCCAGCCCGCCGTCTCTGGATGTTCTAAGTCTCTCAGAATGTTCCTCGATGGATGAATGGCAGCAGCCGTCCAGTCCTGCCAAGAGGCCCTCCAGGACTGGCAGAGCCCGCTGCAGATTGAACAGGTGCATCAGCCTCTGCTGGCGGCTGATTGCAGGCTGCCTGATCAGGCGTAGCTCGCGAGCAGCAATGCAGCCGACAAACTCGGCAGCCGCTCGGAAGTCGAGGCCGCAGTTGGCCGCCATGTTGCGCTGCACCAGCTCCTCAAACTCCTCAGGGGAGCAGGTCGCCCTGCGCACATGTTGAAAATTTGAGGCCTGAGGGTCCAGAGGAATACAGTCATGAATGCCTGACCAAGGTTTCCAGCAGGTGCATGAAGGTGTTTATAGACAAGCCCCTTGCTTCAGCATTCCCTGCAGCTGTGGACACTCAAGAGAAAAGGTGCTCCCCCGGTGCTCTGCTAGCGGACTGAACCCACAGAGTCTCTGACCAGCAGGAACATTTCAGAAACCTGAACCAGAGACCCTTTACTGTTTTTGTCTGTGCGCGATAGATGCTTCACAGGCATGTTCCGCTGTATTGTGCATGAGCCAGGCCTGTCTTTTACACATTCCTGCTGCGAGAGGGTGCCCTTTCCAGAGGTCTTCTCTGTACAAAGGGCCAGAGACACAAATTGGGATATTTTGAGGGTAAAGGTGGCCCCGGCTGGCGGGGGCCGGTATATATACTGAGCACCGTGCCCACGGTTGATTGGGTCTTGCTTGGATCTGGCAAGTCCAACAAGGGGTAGGGTTGTTGCAGCCTTAAACTGCAGCTTGTCTGCAGGACGCACCTTGCCTTTTGGCAGGAAACGCGTGTAATACCAATAATATAATAAGGTGGCCCACGCAAGCGCACCGGCAATCCTCGATGGCGGCTGCGGCTTCGGCGTGCTCGCGGCGCAGCAATGCCCAGCCCCGGTGCAAATTGAAGCCGTTGAGCCAGTTGTGGTTGATAGAGAGCGTGTCCTCCAGGTTTGTCACTGTGTGGTGCCACCCGCTCGGCACAAATATGGCCTCGCCAACACCCTGGAATAAGCACCAGGAATTTCATGGTCACCTTGTCTGGCCAGAAGCTATCGAAAAATAAACTCTCAGCCTGATGCCACAAGTGCCTTGAAGTCCATCAGCACATACAGGTCACACAACAGAAGGGAAACTGCAGATCGATTAAAACTGACGCATTAATAAATGTCATGCTTGCTGCAAGGACATTGGGTGTGCTCCCACCGTTGCACAAAATATTACTCTGCTGCCGGCTGACCCTTCTCAGGTCTGAGTCTCAGGACACTTGCGCACAACTTCCCCATGAGCCTCACGAAACTTCACATCCGGCTGAGTGCAGCACATTGATTTGTGTGGGAGAACAGGCAGATCACCTGATCGACTTCGATGACATGTCGCCTGGCGGCTGCGAGATTGGGGAAGTGTTGCGCGCGGCAGCCGTCAGTCTCAAAGTCGGGCGCCATTTCGCGGCCGAAGCGGTCGTAGAGCAGATGCGTGTGCTGCGGCGGCAGCAGCCGCCACCGCTTGCGCCCGCAAACGTTCACCGACCTGCAATCGCAAATGAATTTCAAATAGGTTTGAAATTTAGAAAGCTAGAAAGCTAATGAAGGCGGACGTGAAGAAAATATGAGATGTGTTTCAGGAAACAGATGTAATGCAGCATTCTCGACAACTACGCCCACAAGATCCCACTGTTGCCGTTTTGTCACTTATCCTGAAGGACAGTAGGCTGGCAAAGTTGAGAGGTTCATGAATGACTTGATGGCCTGCTCAAAAGAGTTGGCTTGCTGCTACAGTCACTGATGTGAAGGTTGATCATGCAAAAGTGCTGCAAAGTCCCCAAGATAAAAAAAACGTTGCATTACTTCAAAGATTAACAGCTGGGCTGCTAAGGGCACTTTACCAGCTGAAAGAGCGCAGCACATCGGCATGCAGTGCAGTGGTGGTGCCTTTCGGGCCCAGGTACACGAACCGGTAGTCTGATGTCACTATGTTCTCCTGACTGTGAGTTCCATTGCCTGTGGAAGCAGCCTGGTGACCTGCACTGTCAAAACATGCTTGCATCTCCATCTCATGTAACCAACCAGAACTCCCTCAGAAAAGAGGCAAGACAATGGAATTTAGAGCAGTACAGACTGTGACTGCAAGATGAAGCATGGGCATGGAATGGAGCAGAGAAGAATGCTTATGCTACAGGTGGAAACATACTTGTCTGGCGCATGTCATAGTACTCATTAAGCCAGTCATCCCTGAAGTATTCTGGCAGCACATATGCCTGTGCACAGGATGTAACTCTCATCTTCTTCCTGGCCGACATTTTGGGCAGTAATCTGACTTGGCCCGCTAACAGGCAATGCAAGCAACAAAGGCATGCAAAAAGAGGAGGCCTGCCTTGTAGTCAGGGAACTCGTTCACAAAGTGCCAGTCCTTGAGATACAGCAGCTGCTCCTCATGGCCCTGTTTATGTCGTAACCACCAGTCCACATACTCTGCTACTGTCATGTCGTGCCTCTGGCCGCCTCCATACCCATCTGAAGTGCTGCACAGCACATCCAAGCTATCATTTAGACAAAAAGCAAGATAATGTAATAGAAATCAGCTAGGATTTCAGACAACTTCACACCAAGTCTGCTGATCTCAGACATGACGGGGCCCTGTTGCGATGCAAGCTTTCGGCAAAAGCTACAAAGGAGGAGGTTGTTCATATTCAAACCTGGCAGAGGCAGTGGCCCAGATGCGTGCATCACCAAACTTCTCTGACAAAAATTGGAGGTTCACCCCGCCGTCCGCTGTCTCCCAGTCCTGACAAGCCTGCCAACCCTCTGTCACCCCCTGCACACACGCACACCTTATCTCTTGCACAAGGTTCCAGGTCCTGTGCGATCTTTCAAGGCCGAATGTCAATCTGCTGGAGACCCAGGGATGTGATGTCCGGCATGATGCATTTGGCTTTAACATTTCCAGTAGGACTCAACACCAAAACAGCAAGGAATGTGCATGTGTGGGCACCCCAGCAGACCCACCGCACCTCGATCATGACCGGTAGATTGGGAGCCATGTATTCCAAGACGAATGCATCATAGGACAGCTCGTTTGCATGCCTGCAAGGAATATTGCAATTGCAGGTGCTCGAGCCAGATATGGGTTCTCCGGAGGATCCTCTGCTCACAGCAGACTGCTGTGTCCCTTCAGGCAAGCTGTCATCGGCTGCTGTCACAAAGTCCTCCAGTGCATCCACTGAACCATCCATCAAGCGGGCTGCAAGGGCGGCAGGATCTGTGCCCCGCTCAGTCCACCTGTTGTACACCAAGGAGGCCAGGTGCAGGCGCCTGTGAACTGCAGGATCACCCTGCAGACGGGCAGCTGACACTTTTGTGTGTGTCATCTGGTACTTGCAATGCATACTTAATCTCCATCCTATTAATGCTGTCTAGTATGCATGCTGTAGTATGCAGCAGGATGTCTGTTATCTTCCCAAAGAGCGTAGCAATGGATACCAGATCTTTGCTGATCACCTCGTTAATTTCGCCAGAAGCTGTGTCGGCGATGAGAAGGTGTTCTAGTGTAACCTCCCTGCAGCAATATCAAACTCAGTTTCGAGTTAGGATACAATGATCGAGGCAGACCAGCAATAAGTTAGATGGTGATTCATAAGAGCAGGTCTGGTCTCACCGGAGAGAGATCGAGGGAGGACTGTCCATGTGGTCCCACATTTTCAGACAATGACTACTTATTCAGTGTGCGTGCGATCCTGTGCAAAGCTGTTGTCCCCAGATTCACATGACCAGATTCGTCACTAATCCGCTGACGTGTCAAGGGCCCCACGAGAGGGGGTCTTGAGATTTCCGCTGTTGGCCCCGAAACACAATTTCTTGCTTGTCGGAGGCAATTGTATATCTGTCTGTATATTGTGAAGTTCAACCAGGGCACCCAACACTCGAGCTTCGTTCAGGTGAGCTTTTGTCCCCTGGTGTCCCAGCTGCTCGTTCAGCAGAGTGTTGACATCCACAGGTTATTCAAAAATGTCCTCTATGCATACTGAATGCCAGCCATGAGTCTTGAAACAAGTGGCATGCCTAGTAATGGTTCTTTTTGCAAGACTATAAGCACTGAGTGCGTCAAGAGGTGGCGGGATTCCGGCCATTACGGTTCCAAGGTTGTGCTTTGGGAACTCCACCAACCCATATTGTAATTGAATTCGGTGCGCGTATTGTGACTTGATATTTTTCTGGTTACGAGCTTTCGATTGTTGCGAGAAGGGGTGGCCTGTGTTGGTTCCGGCGTATATATCAAGATTTGGGGTAGGCCGACAATGGAAGCAACCTTTGAGACACTTTCCTCGTTCTGCACTATCGGCAGGCGTTCCACGTTCAGTAGGGATTCTATCAGGATGCAGATGTGAACCGTATACATTACAAAGTGTCCAGCCTCAAATTTAGCGGAGATCCGTTTGTCACCGGCTTGTTCTCGGTACTGAGACCCTTGTAATGTGTTTCAGGTCCACATGATGTACTTCTTCCTTGCCATTGTGGCATCTTTGGCGGTCTTTGCGGCCCCAAGCGCAGCAATCACCGACATCCAGATCCTCAACTTCGCCCTCAATCTTGAGTGCCTCGAGGTGATAAGCAAAAGACTGTATACCTCTGAGATTCACAGTGATACACGTTCATATGTTTGAATACATCAAAACGGAGCCACAGCACTCATCAGCTAACAGTTCTTGACATGCAACACGGTCACCTCCCTGAACCTCGAATGCGTGTGTCACGGCAGGCCGAGTTCTACAGTTATGCTGCGTTCGGGAAGGGACTGAACGCCACGCTGCTTGGCGGCGGCCCTGGCTCTACTGGCGGACAGAAAGCCAAGCTGAGCTATGCAGTCCAGCAGTACGCTCTTGAAATTGCCGAAGACGAGCTCAACCATGTGAGCACACCTCCCCAGCCTCTTCGTTCTTCAGCACACCTTGCTGCCTACCCTTCGATTAAATCAAATATCATACTTCTCAGGGTCTGGACGGTTGGACTGAGCTTATTTCTGTATTGATGACGCTTTCCCTGCCATGTTTGCAGGTGGCTTTCCTTCGCTCAGCCCTGGGTGACAAGGCAGTCCCCTGCCCCCAGATCGACATCGGCACAGCCTTCAGTGCCATCATCGACGCTGCTCTGGGCTCCAAGGCCACCAGCTACAAGTTCTCCCCCTACGACAACGACCTGGACTTCCTCCTTGGTGGGTCTCCTCTCCTCAATAGCCGTCCCTTTGACAGTCATTTCAACTGCACTGCCTGATCAGCCATGCATCTGCTGAAAATAAATGACCAAAAGCCTATACATTCATGAGGCATTCTCAGCATGCACAATGCCTCAGAAAATGCTGTGTTGCTTGGCTCTGGCAACACTTGTGGGCCCCAGTTGGGAACCGAGCGCCGGTCCATATCTCAAAATGTTCTTTTCCTTCCTGACATAGCAGGAACATCCCTTGGTCTTTCTATCAGCATGTTTTGACCATCATGCTAGCTTGCCTGATCATTAACTTCCCTGCTAGCACAGCCCACCAGTGGTGTGGGGATCTTTCTCCACATCCTGCCTGCAGTATTCTTGAAGAGTCAAAACTTGACATGGCTTTCATGTGAGCGCAGGCTCCTTCCTGTTTGAGGATGTTGGTGTGACCGCCTACCTTGGAGCAGCCCCCGCCATCACGGACAAGACTGTGCTCGGAGCAGCCGGCGGCATTTTGGCAGTTGAGGCATACCACGCAGGCATAATCAGAACCCTGTTGTACCAGGATGGCGCCTACCCTGTCGTCCCCTACAAGATCCAGACCGTTGACTTTGTCCAGGTGTGGCTTCCCTCTTCCCTGCTGCCTTCCATCTTTTCACCAATCTCTACAGCATTCATCTGCCAGCATTGCTCTGGGACAGTCCAGGAGCATTTGCACTGTTCAAGCGCCATGCAGATGTTGCCACTTTTACAATATTCTCATGCGTGCATGCGGCAAATGTTAGTCTGGCGCCAACTCTACTGGATGTTCCACTGGATGCATACTATCCTGTAGCTTATGATACAGGAGAGGACATGATTGCCCAAGCCTGTACCCAGCAGCTCATTACCCCTGCTGTTGCGCAGGCTCTGTCCAACCTGCGCGCGGCAGTCGGCGGCGGCAAGGACCAGGGAATCACGTCCCCTGCGGCCGACGGCTCGCTCTACGTCCCATACCTGACCTCAAAGTACGAGTCAAACCTGGTGCCCACCAACGCCGCCAGCCTGGCGTTCGCTCGCACCATTCCCGAGGTGCTCGCCATCGTCTACGGGGGCTCTGCTTCCACCCCTGGCGCATTTTTCCCCGAGGGCATCAACCCCGGCGTCTAGATAGGTTTGCGGGAAAATATATATTTACCGCACCCTCCTCCTGGGATGCACCCAGTGTGACAAGGGCCCTCCATGGCGAGTGGCCGGCAATGCAATTGCAGCTTCTGCCATTTAATAATTAGGTGTATCTTCTCTTGTGTTGTGAAACTGGATGGACGCAGCAGCTGCTGGCGCGCGATAATCGATTGCCTCATGATGACGGATGACAAACGCCCCAAATTCGAATCGCCCCTGGCGCAAAGTTTGAGTGGCGGTGCCTTGTGGGCACAGAAAAGGAAGTGGATAGGCGGACCTGGCAATATTTTAATCTATTAATGTATTGGGCCACACTAACTGAACTGGGGTTCTTTTCCGCATGTTGGAGACCATGCATGGGTGGGACATTTTGTGCCACAACTAGGAGCCTGATGCCACAACTAGGAGTCGTTGCGTATACCAGCCAGAACTTATTGCATATTCGGCCGAGCTGATGCATTGGATCTCCATTTTGTGGCTGGGTTTTCTTAGAAACTGAAAGGGCTGGCTGCAGTGTTGAGCATCGCGTTGTTGGCAACGAGATGGGGTGTCTATAGTGAGCGCTAGCAGCAGCTGATACTGAAGGCCCAGAACAAAGTTTTAGAGGACTGTGGTTCTCCTTTATGGCGGCTTGCAATAAATGTACGCAGCCTGCTGCAACAAGAGACCACCAGTACTGCCAGAAGCTTCTCCCTTGATATTAACGAATTGCCTCTGGGTTGCCGAGTTTGCAAAGCTGCAGTGAGGATTCCAGGTGTGGCAATGAATGTTGACTGCAATGAACAACGACATGCAAGTAAGCAGCAATTATCTGCATGCCTTTATTCTTGCATCGATATCCGGCCATTTGAATGTGTTGGGAGGACCCAAGCATGTGGACTTGTTGCATGCTTTTTCCGTCTTGGGTCCTTGAGGACTGATCAACCGGGTTGTAAAATGTGCAATACATATCGTAGCTTGCTCAGATTGTCAGCAAAAATTCCCAAGTCCATACAGATGCAAATCACTGGCCCTCATGGACACATCTGACACGCCTTGCATTCTCACTCTTCTAGAAAAGGGCCCCTATCACGCTGGGCTCCAGCAATTGCAGCCTCCCCAAGGAGCCGTGAACTCAGTGGTCCGAATAATATGACGGGGTGATACACTTGTCAAAAAAAACAGCACCGCCGATTTGTGAGCCTGCCTGAGCGGCCAGAGCCGCCCCCCGGGCATATCACTGAGGACAGCGAGCTCCCCTTCATAAAGCAGAGAACCAAGCAGTGGTTTGCAGCTCGGGAGTCAGCTGTTACAGCTAGCAACATGGCCTTGCTGTTGGGGCTGAAAGAACCCTCGGCAGCAAAGACCCTGGGGTCAGCGGGCGTGGGAGTGCACCCAGACAAAGGCTGCGCTGATCTAAGCCGTGCGTCTGCGGTGCTCATTGGAGCGATGGGGCCGCAGGCGCTTCCTCCTGTACAGCCGCGCGGCGCTTTCGCATCCTGCGCCATGGAGATGGGCACCATCAAGGAATGCGACGTCCTGCTCGGCTATGCCCAGCACATGGATGCTATGAACAGGTGAAGCAGCACACATCACTTTTGATTTGATTTGCGGACATTGTACAGATCTGGATCAGGAGACCCATTGTGCAATAGTAAAAATGAGCATTAGGGAGCAACTCTGTGCAAATGCAGGCCACTCGCCCTGAGAATGCACGAGACCGGTGCTGTGGTCCTCTCATCAATCCCAGCCGAAGTGGCGCAGCTTGCATCAGTGGACATGGCCAAGCTTCCCCGGATCATTGCATCTCCTGATGCTATCGTCAGGGACAGTGCCACTGGCGAGGCGCATCTAATCGTTGAGGCAAAGCACAGGTTTCCATTCGTGGAGGCTGGAGGCCTGTTCACCTTCATGGGGAGAAGGCGGCAGCCGATGAAAGAGATCAGCGTTGAGTATTTTGCGCAATGCCAGGTCCAGATGCTGGTGACTGGAGTCAAGCGCTGCGATCTGGTCTCGTACTCCACTGGCGGCTGCAAAATCTTCCACATCGGCCGGGATGATGAGTGGTGCAGCCTAGCCCTGCTGCTCCTGCAGAAGTTGCAGAGTCAGCACATCAGCACAAAGCAACCGCTCACACCAGCATTCTATCTGGACACCGTGCGGGTGCTGCATGGCAGGCTGCTGCGCCAGACCATTCAGAGCATGCGTGCGCTCTCAGAGCAGCTGGTCACAGAGGCACCGAGCGCCTTCAATGCAGCTGCCAAGGAACGGTTTCTGGACGACATGCCAGAGGAAGATCCCAGGAAGCAGGCCACAAGTATGTACTTTCTGGTGGAAAGAAAATATTGATTTGTGGACAAGGTCACGTGATTGGCATGATTGAGACAGGTGATTATGTGAATACCTCTGCAGGGCTTGCTATTGGTAGCGCTGCAGAAATCACCAGAGCTGCTGAAGAGCGCAATGCGAGCAGCCAGGCGGCAACTGCGAGCGGCGCTGGAGTTGCAGGCACTGAAGCTGCAGAGGCTGTTGTGCCTCGCTCAGTACCCTCTGATGCCATGGCCGCCCCAGACATGGCGCAGCTCCCTACAAATGCAGCAGCAGTGCCCCCTGAGCAGCATCAAGTGGACAACAATGCTGCCCCTCCAGTGGTAAGTGAATAGCCCACAACCAGCGGGTGACAATATGTATGCTTCATGTGTGCAACGATCAGCTTTGCGCATAGGTGCGCAGAATATCTGAATGGCAGAATCTGCTGCAGGCACCCGGTGCATCACGAGCAGCGACAACAAAACGCGCCCGCAAGCCAAACATGCGCTACAATGACGGTGTCGCTGCAGAGGTAACCACTTTAGAATATTTTGTTTGCGAGATATAAGTGTGCCTGTTGGTATCAGTTATGTAGATGAGCAAAAATACCTGCTGTTGCGCATGGAAGGCTTTGTTGCAGACCGCCATTCCAGAGCGGAGGGCAGCTGCAGCAGCGGGTGGCTCCATTTCAGCCTCTGCGCGGCCCACCCTCCCACCTCGACCGCGCAAGGCCGCCCCTTCGCAGCAGCCGCCCCGGGCAGCCAGCCCAGTCCACAGTTGTGAAGCCCCCCTGTCAGCCAGGCACAGTGAGCAGCCTCAGGTGAGAAGCCGGAATGGTTTGGCAGGATCTCTAGGTTTCCTTGCCACTGGCTCATTTCTGAATGTGGGCTGCAGGCAGCTGGAATTGCGACACCCGCTGTTTTGAAAGCAATAGAGCTCATCAACAAGCCAGTGGTCCTTGCGGCACTGTGGGCGACGACGCAGCATTTGGATCTGATACAGGGAACCAGCATCAATGAGAACTGGCACAGCTGGCTGAAGACGCACCTGCCCATATTGGGAGGAATTCGGACGTACTTCATGCTCAGCGTTCTCCTGCAGTGGCAGCAGATGAGATTCAATTCAGCAGTCCTCATGCGCAGACGGCAGGCAGCAAAGGAGGCCCAGGGGTGCAGACAGCAGCACGGACTCAGTGAGCAGGAATTGCGCCTTCAGATCGCAGCGGCATTCTCAGACACAGACACAGTGCAGCCTACGCGCAAGGCGTACCACGAATACATGCACAAATCCTATGATCTTCAGAGCATGGCAGCAATGGGCTTCACGAGGGCAAAGCCCAAGGCCAGCTCTGGAGGCAAGTGGTCAGAGGCAGAGATTGCAGGGATGCTCGAGTGCCTAGCAGACCTCCACAAAGGGGAAGCTATGATCCACACCCAAGATCCCTGCTACTTCGTGTCTCACCATGGTTTGTTGAGGCAGAAGAGCACTGCCCAGGTCAGGGAGCTCCTGAGATTTCTTGAGAGAAAGTACGAGTTTTAAGGTTGCCGGGCGCACGATATCCATCGACATTGGAAGAAGCCTGCATTGCAGTATCCCTGTAAGATCACCAGCTGAAATTCCGACCATTCCCACAGAGTTCCAAGCACGGTCTGCTGAGCAACCAAAATCAACGATCTGTTGATATTGGGACGTCAGAATGCAACCGAAGCACAATCAAGTAGCTTCACCGTTCCTGATCAGTAAGTCTGTCGAGTCACATGGATGTAGGACCACTGAGTCAAGAGATAGGACGTGCCTCCTTTTAAGTGAAGATTCCGCAAGGCAATCAGCACATCCCGGATACCGCAAAGACGCAAAGGAGCAGCGGAAGACTTGTCGCGCCCTTGAATGCGCGGAATGTGGGTGGGCTCCAAATTCTCTTATATAGGATGTACATGAAATTGAGGTGCTCCGCAATGAATCAAAATACCACAACCTCTTGTCCTGGGCTCACGAACAAAGCCAAGTCTTGCAGAGCTGTTCACATCACAGCAGCCCGATACAGCATGAGGGCTTGCTGTACGGACGATATCGAAGATACAAAGACTCTAGCTCACGCCTGTCCTTTCCTTTTAATCTACAGAGAGCCTGTGTGAAAGGATCTGTGATGATCAATACTGTAGAGATAGAATGAGGCCCATCTACATCGGATGTGCCGGCCCTCCCAACCCTCGAAAAGGGACTTATGCACTCCTACAAAAAACCCCTCATGTGCCCCAAGACTTGGAAGATCGTACTGTCAAAGCTCTAAATCATTGCATGTAGCGTTTGTACACTAGGCGTCCGGCATGCAAGCAACTCTCGCAGCACGTGCTGTACCCAGCCATTTTGGCTTGAGGAGCACGCTTCTTAGGATGACAGCTTGTGGTCTGAAAGCATCACGCACCATTATGGCAAAAGCTTATCTGGGGCCAGAACGTCAGAGCCAGAGCGAGAGCGAGAGCATAACGAGTCTTATCAAGGCAAGTTCATGCATTACCGAGCCAAGGAGGCAATGGAAGAGCTCCAGGAAGAACATGAGTGGCAGACATCTGTGTTATGCGCCTACTCGTACATTGTGAAAAATTCGCATTGTCGTGGCTCCATGTACTCATTCATGCAGGATCTCAGGGAGCGCAACATAGCCTTGCTCATTGGGGCAGGCGTGTCTGGCCAGCTCATGTATCAAAATCCTTCTTGGGACAAGGCAGTCCTCGATTCAAATCTAAAAAGCTGCTCATCTTGGGGGGGATTGGTTCGAGCAATAGCAGGAGAAATGAGCCGTGTAATGTTTCGTGATGAAACTGACTGGACTCCTGGGATTTTGAACATGATGAGCCTGATCCAGTGTGGATTGGTGACTTCTTTGGCCCATCATCTGCTTGTTTGTGGTGTATTGCATGCTTGAAGCCTTTCTCAAAAAGACTTGGCAGTGGGGCATTGTGACCCTGAAATACATTTGCGCAGGTTACCGAAGAGAAGGCCACTCAAAAGGAAGACTTGTCCAAAGGAGCTCGCGTTCTTGAGAACAGTCAAGAGCTTATTCCAGATCCAGAGTGGAATACCTTTCATGCACGCGTCAATGCGAAGAGAGAAGACCAGGGCAGATTTGCTCTGGATCATTGGAAGCAGATTGCAAAAGAAATATTTAAGCGCAAGGAATGTCCAGATGCAGATGCTGATCCTGGGTATTTTGCATCGCTGGCCTTTCTTGAGCAGATGCTGAAAAATCGCTTCCCAGAGGGCTTGAATACTACAAATCCATTCCAAAAGTTGGCAGAGCTTGTGATGATGCCGCTTCAGGTGCGATGTCCTTCCCCTGTGGCTGATAACGCATCATGCTTCCGCGTGTGATTTCGTGGGATATGACGATGCTAGTTGCAGCACACCCTATGAATATGTTCTTTGTTTGCAGGCTGATAAGAGCGCTGCCATTGTGGCATCTTTGAAAGCACTTGTCATCCACTGCCCAATCCTGACATTCAATTATGACATATTCTTGGAGCAAGTGCTACATCGATCACCAGTGAACAGCTCTGAGATTGATGACCCATGTGGATTCTATTGCGCAAAAGATGGGAGTGTTGGCGCAAAAATGCTGACGCATACCTCATGTGTGGTCCATCTGCATGGAATGTTCTACAACAACATTGTACTGGATCGCGAGACGTACCAGGCAGCTGCAAGCACTTTTTGGGATAAGCTGGCTGTTGTGAATAGGAGGTAAGGAAGAGTTCTGGCACTTGTCAATTGGTGGCCTTTGTCATTAATTGTGTCATTTTGATCCCTTAGCAATCCATGAAACTGATACTCAATATTTGATGTTCGTCGCAGTTTCCTCATGGTCGGCATTGGAAACGGGCTGACAGATATCAATATGCTGTCATATGGGAGGGGAGAGCTGGCAGAAAAGTCCAGCTTGAAACACTACCACCTATGCACCCAGGAGGGGATCGAAAAATATGAAGGGGCGCTAAAAAAGATTGAGAGTAGTGATCCCGAATTGGCCACTTGGATGAGGAAAAACATCAAGCCAATCATATATGGTGATAGCCATGCAGAATTGCCCCAATTCATGGACAGACTTGTTGCAAAGATGTAGGCCCTACGTTTGGGCAAGATGAGCTCTACTACACATGTGGGATTAACATCGGGGTGTGCTTTGAATATTGAAAGACTAATACGATAGCAAAAATACAGAACCCCTCTCATACGGAGTTCAATACAGCGCGCCTGCAGATCCCTCCTCAAGAGTCTGCCATGAGGGAGTACTGATGCTGATTGCTCCCAGACACCACCACTCTGTACGCTATCGACCCCACCAGGAACAAGGCAAACAACGCCAGGGGAATCAGGTACCCATTCTGCCTCACAAACATCTCCCAGTCTGACAAGCCGGCACTGCCGCTGCCCCCGCCGCGGCCAGAGCTCGGATCTCCGACCTGGAACGCGCGAGAGGCGCCCGAAAACGCCTGTGTCCCGCCGAAGATGTGCTTGTAGTCCCCAAAGTGCCGCAGCCGATACATGCCTGTAATATTGCGCAGACAGAAATGCCTTCAGCTTGATCCCTGATTTGCTGGCTTCTTGAGCCTCTATGCAGGCTTTTGGATCCATCAAAAGAACGGAATCTTCATAGACCACAAAAGGTGCACAGAGACATGCAGGATATTCTATTTCAGTACCAACACTAGATCAGCAGACCAAAGCCACAGACCATGCGGCAAAAGACAATGCGTCCGCAGCCCCATCTGCAAGGCGCATAAAAGACTGCAGGCTAGTGGAATATGAGGATACATCTGACAAAAGAGGGGACCTTTTGGCAAGGGGAACGCACCGGCAGGGACTCCCTCAGGGATGTCCCATGTGATGGTGGCAGAGGACTCCGGGGACAGCACATGCGGCCGAGCCCAGTAGAACTTCGTGCTCACGTGGCTGTCCGTGTACACCTGCACATGCCACAAACACCTTCACACGCACGCCTTGTGGTTTATTAACAACATGTCATTCAAGATGTAGGCTGGATCGGACGACACACAAGTCATTGCATGGTGTCACATCTGGAGGGCCCCAAAAGGAATACCGAGTCATAGCCTGTCTAGAGCAAATTCAGCAAAGTACCGCAACGTACCATCAAAGCCAGAAAAGCCTGTCAGCAGACATGCAAGCAACATGTCTGCTTGCATACTCGATGAAAAGAAAACACCAGGCTCCGTTTAGAAGCGTATCCAGGTGCATGGCCAGACAGAGAAGAAACAATGGCAGGAGCGCACCACATCCCAGCCGTCAGGGGAGCTCTTATTCTGCCGTTCCACGGTGAGGAACGTCCCCTCCAGCCGCACATTGTTGCGCGGGCATGCCGACCTGAACACCGCTCGCGCTGTCGACCCCGCCTCATATCTCCCCCCAGCCACATCCTCCACCACGTCCCCAAAGTTGGCCCCTGCACAGTAGCACTCTCCTGAGCCAAGTAGATGTGGTCCTTAAATGGACCTTGAATCCCATTTATGTAGTAAACATCGTATGAGATGACAACACAAAGGGAGGGTCCATTAAATCAAGTGGGCCGCGGCCGATGCGCGCGCAACACATTATAATTACATGCAGTCACTGTGCATGCATGCTTTGATGATGCACAGGGCAGCACGCACCGCTGGGCACGGAGTCGAGGACGACAGGGCCCAGGAAGGACCACTGGGCGTCGATCATGTTGGGCGGGGAGGGGCCCGGGGGCGTTGCCTTGCGCAGCACCATCGCCTCTGCCAGCCGCGAAAACTCCTGTGGCAGCAGAAAAGGGCATGCTCTGAAGAGGATTCCAGCAGGGCAAGCAAGAGCTTTCAAAATGTGACCAAGTGTGGTGAGTACCTCCTGCAATTTGCATCCAGTGACAGAAAGCATGTGAAAGCAGAGCTCAAGACAGGCAGATCATGCCACCTCTTGAAGCGTCTGTATGTTCTGCATGGCCCATCTTCGATAGTTCACAAAAGGAAAGACAAATCTGGGGCATACCTGGATGTAGGCATCAAGGGTGTGGGGCCCAAATATGGTGCTGGCGCCCTCGTAGCGCTGCATGCCATACTCTTCAATCGTGGTGATGTAGCTTGAGTAAGTATTAGTCAGTCCCGCGATGACCACCCGCACATCCTCGCCCCAGGTACCTGATACCTGCACCATAAAAACTTACAGCTAAAAAAGAGAATGTCAACTCGTTCTCATTATCAGCCAGGACCTGCCCAATCTCACCCCATGCTTGTCACACAAGCAACAAATGTAAGCATAAGAAGTTTACCGCTGCCTACTCCGCCCAGAAAGCTCAAGCAGAAGCACCTCCTATACTCAAGACAATAAGATGAAGTGCATAGAGGCTGCATTACTTACTTTGCAGCATCTACTTCATAGATATTCTGCTGCAAAAGCACTGCGTCAGGCAGAAGTTCAGGGCGCCTGTGCCACACTAAAGGATGCAAGGGACTGTCCGCATGAATGCAAACAGCTGATTTAAGTCCAAGCGAACATACCAATACATGCCTATGGTGTTTGGCAGACAATTTTCTGCAAAATTGAAGCCGGCACCTGTGCGTAGATTGCCTCCCTCAGGCGCCGACCGGCCATGGTGGTGAACTCTCCAGGCACACACAGGATCACCAGCTGACCCGCACGCAGAATCTGGATGTCCACGATTGCCGGCTGCCTGCAGTCATGAACAATCGCCACTTTGTCATTCTCACGCCATGCTCACAACGCTCATAACAAGTCCCGCCTGTATGGTCCCACCATTCATGACCATGCTTCATTGTGATGACACATCTGTCATCCGGCAATGGTAGTCCAATATGTCAATAGGAAGTCTCAGCCCACAGACAACAGCGCACCTGCTCGGTGAGATCCACTCTTCTGACAGAAGCAGGGTATGCATCATGTGATATGATATCTACAACATTGCTGGTGTGTGCAAGGACAGGAATGCTTGACAGAGGACAGATGAGGGAGAGCACCATTCGTAGGGCACATGCACGGAGCCTGTGTCGAGGATGATGGGCTTAGGCGCCTGGCAGGCAACCTGCTCGGCGCTGGGCTCCTTGAGGAAGTGGCGCACCACTTTCCAGAACAGCGTCCCATTCTGGTCGCCCTGCTTGAAGTCAAACGCCCCCGGCCCTGCTAAGAGCAAAGCGCACTCAAATCTTCTGCAGCCCGCAAGGTTGCCACGAGTCCAGACATTCCAGTACTTCCTCAGCAATGAAGTGAATGGCAACTCCCATGTGCTTTGAATGGGGTGATTGTCGGTTCATGTTGCATACGGCATGCAATCATGGAAGCCTCCAAGGAAGCTTCTGGGTCAATCAAGCGCCCCTTCTCAGAAATAATTGTGATAGTGCGCATGTGCACGGTAGCAATCAAGAATGCACTATTATGCATTCTATAGGGCGCACCATCGGTTGTGCCGGCTGCGAAGCTGAAGCCCATGGCGGCCCTGCAGGTGCGGCCGGCTCGGGTGAAGTTGGACGCATGAACTGTCACGCTGCTCATGTCCAGGAACATGTGCCTGTAGTCCACAGAGCCTGCAGCACATGTCCAAACAATGAAGATTCAAAGGGTTCTGAGCGACATTCTCAAATGCGTAAACCTTGCACAACTATCTCCCCGGAGTTGAAATGCACCGCTGATAAGTCTGCATTGCTCGGAAGGCACCCTCGCCATGAATTATACAGCACATGAACATGCACATATCACGGGGATTGCGCACCACATGAGTAATATATTAATCCATGCAATCCGTGATGTTTTTCCTGGGTTCAGCCAAGCGTGCTGGAAAGTGAAGTGTTTGAATCTCAGCCACCTGTAGTGACTATCTGGTACCTAACTACTTGTTCGTTTTGTGTGCAGCATGTGAAGCTGTGCGAGGCGAAGGCCAAGTTGCTGGAGGGCCTGGAGGGCAAGCCCCTGAAAGAGTTCAAGGACATGTACGCCGGGCATATGCTGAGCAACATCCAACCAAATCCCGCCAAGGCTTTAGCATGCGGGATCTGGTGTGGATGTTGCTCAGCCAACGCCTGCGATCTCATATTAAGGCCTTCAACAGGGCACAAGAAGAAAGGGAGGTGGACTTACCTGTGACATCCAGGCTGCCGTTGTCCTGCCAGAGGCTCTGCGCCTTGTCGGACTGGCGGCGTGCAATAATCTCGTTGCTCTTGAAGCCGTGGTCGTCCGCTTCCCATGCCGGGCCGCGCCCGATGCACATCTCATTGCGCCCGTTGCACGTGCTGTGCTCCTTCTCGCATGGGACGCCTGACCATCCAAATTTGGCAGCCATCAGCAATTCCTGTTCTCTTCCATATTAGTATCGCCACAGCCATGCCGTCAGCTCAATTCACTTCAATTATCCGTGTGAGCTCAACAGGATTCCAACGCTGATCTGAAGCTCATGTAGAGCTCCACTCTTAGGCATTATAATGGAGACAGCCGACTCCCATTTACATGCGTATGTTCCCAGATCCTCAATCAGACAGAGATAAGCTTGAAGGTCTCCATGCAAGCACCAGGGACAGAGCAGGGCTTGACCTGTGTCATAGCAGAAGGCGCCGAGGATGTTGGGGGATGTGTCACCCACATTGCTCTGCCCAAAGGACGCCACAAAATCCTGGCTGACAGCGGCATTGCCGTCCCTGCTGCTCTTTGCGGCCCACTCCTCCATGAACTGTGCTGCCACCCCCTTGTTGTCGCCGCTGATGAGGCTGTTGGTGTTATTGATGGAGGTACAGTGCACTGGGTACCACGCCACAGCCCCTCGGCCCCTGGAAATGCCACTCACACCTCAGAAGACTAGTACACGCAGTCTTTTTAAATTAGGATATCAGCACTGCTGTCTCCCGTGCACACCAAGGTAAATCAAAGACCAGCGTTGGTGCAGGCGAGTCGTTCACATACTTGATGTCACAGTAGTAATTAACGAACACCCCAGTCTCTCTTCACGATTGAACAGCAAACATGCCATGAGACAGACTTTTCAAGTGCGCTTCGAAGCCAAAGCAAGGGGAATGCCTGAATGCTATGGCAGTGTAATGGCCATTTGACGGGCATGGCCGTCCACGACTACCCCTGCTTTGGGTTCCGTGGGCATCTGATTAGACCATCATGCACGGCATGAAGCCGTATTGATGTCTAAGACATGAGAGCACTCACCTGCCATCAGCGTCCATGACCTTGAGCAGAGTCATGTCTTTGTCTGTGTTGTGCTTGTACCGGGCGCGCTCCTCTGCAGGATTGGCCAGATATGATGTGGGGCTCCGATTGGCATTTGCATCCAACAGCTCCCCATGATTCAGTTGCAGCGTTCCAGGCGCCACATCCTCATGTGCGCGCTTGATTGCCTGGAATAGGCACTATAAATAAAAATACATGCATGCATGCATGAACTGAAAACACACATGCAATGTTTGAATGAGCCCAAGTGTGTTACAAAGTAGGGACCAGGGAAGGAGCTTGCACACGTCATGCATGTCAAATAGGCATGCATGTGCCAAAATTGTCACACCATGCAACTAAGCAGCAGCTCACCTCAACAATGCCGCCCACAAGTACATCAAAGCTCTCCCTGACGAAACCCAGGGATGTGATAATGTACAGGATGTACTGCAGGTATCCTCCAGGCCCTGAGTGGGTATGGATGCCACTCATGGCCACATTGCCCTCATGATAGACACCACCATAGAGCCCCTGCAAAGTGGACATCCAGGCATGAGGAGACTTTGAGATACACGCGGTCAAGCACACAAGAACTCCAAGACATCAGCATGAAGGCACATCAAGGCTGCTGTGACCTACCTTCAGTTGGGCAAGAACGGTCATTGTGACTCCTTGCGACGCCATGCATGCGTCAAGGTTGACAAACACGAATCGCTTGCTGCGTGACATTCCAGTGAGCATTCTCAGTCCTGTATGTTGGATAGGGCTATGGGGAGAGCAGGAAGTGCATTGATGTGCAAGTCTCACATCTGTTCACTTGAAGAATTAAATAGCAGCTAAAGTTAGGATCCAACCTGTCATCCTTGGCATCGCCAATGATGTATGCCCTGGCGTACAGCCTAGTGTGGATGCCAGCGGCTAGCTGAGTCGCGCTAGCATAGCCCTGTTATATGCAACCAGGAAATTAGACCAACATCATGAGAACCACGTGCTCAAAGAAAGAATGCTTATGTTAATTTATGCCCAACAATCGAAGGACAAGATCAAGGCAAAGGAAGTTGAGCATGCACCCACCATCAAGTTGACATCTGCTGCAGGCCCGGTGATGTCTGCCTTGCCTGGATGACACGAGAAAGATTTCGTTATATTTTTACCATACCAATTACATGGACACTTGCTTTGACAAGACAATAAATTGATCTGACGAATAGAAACGCATCAGTCTTCAATAAAACTAGATCCTTAGCAGATCGGCCCAACCAATTGAGAATTGGCTAGCGCACCTATGCCAATTAGGTACTGATCACCTCGTCCATCGGCAAAAATGATAGTAAGGCCGATCACACTTGCAATCCCTAGTAAAGTGCACAGGTAAGAAGGATATCTATCCATGGCTGCAGGGCAGATCCTGCAAATGCCCCTGGCTCAGCACGCTTCTGACCGTGTAAAGGACGACATCGGCAAGCTTTCAACGGCCTTGGTCACCTTCCACTTCGCATCGAGCAGCACAAGAAAGGTCTGCATAATAGTATCGTAAAGGCTCACGTGGACTGATGACTCACGGAATTTCATTCATGGAGATCTTGAGGGGAGAACGATGCCTCTCTTGGCAAAACACATCACAACTGTGACTGAAATGCGAAGATTGTGTGGAAACGCAAGTGCCTGTGTATTAGGCCATCGGTCTTTTGAAAGCTAAAGATTGTGGGCATCTGAAACCTTGGACTAAATTTTCTTGCAACAATGAACGCCGGCAGCTTTCCTTGGGACCACAATGCTAGACTTGAACATGTAAGTCTCGTAAATTGTGGTTCCCAAAGTTGTGAATGCTGTGAAGAATCTTGAGCAAATCTACATTGTCTGCTGCAGGCGACTGTTCCAATGCACTGCAAGGTGCAGCCAGCTACTGAGGGAGCTCTAAAAGTTCGAGCAGATTTACAAACGAAGCGCAGTGTCCAGTCCAGCTTGAACCTCGAGACATACATCGACCTGCACGCGGCACTTTGCAAGGGCACCTTCCAAGTACAAAAGGTGTCGGTCGTGGAGAGGGCGATGTACAAGATGAACGACTTGAAGCAGGTAAGCTGGTCAAAGCATCCTTCCCCGTCATTTCAGACTTGTAAAGGATCAGGTCAGTAAATTGATTTGGGGGTAAGTGAATGCAGGTGCTTCTGTTGCTTGGGCTCACAGCCGGCAGCAAAAACAAACAGGTGCACCCCTTGCTAGAGGGGCAACCATAGACTCAAATACAAAATTAGGTATGAAGTATGGTGCTTTTGGCACAATGCGTAAGTCTTATGAGGACTCATGATCCGTAGGACATTCTTGACTTGATGGAGGGCTTGACTCTGGCAGCCCCAACCCTGCTCACATCAACCACAGACACCACCGCAGCTCAGCAGGTGCTCGAAATCATCAACTGCTTTGCCTCTTACACAACATTGTACATGTGCGCATTGTTGACCGGTTGCGCTGAGTGGTCCACATGCATGGCAGGACAATGCACATGGAGACGGTGCCGCTAATGTGCACTTGGATGTGACAGCTGCAGACCTGGCCGCCCTTAATTGGGTCAGGCCTGAGAAGATCAGCACAGTGGAGGTCGCACTCAGCAGGCCAAAGCAGCTCCAGGATTCCCATGTCCGTTGCCCAGCAGCAGCAATTCCACATTCCCTCCAGGAAGACCAGGTATGTTTGCAGGCCACCATTTGCAGCTTTGCTGGGTGGCAGTTCTGAAGCCAACCATCCAGGGCTCCTCATTAAGTAATTAGACTTCAGTACCTTTGGAGCTTCCCAGTGTCTGAACTATGAATCTGCAGGGGACAGCGACCCTCCTGAACCAAGGGCCTCCTGGGCAGACAGCAGAATGGGCAGATGCTCACACTCGGCAAGCGCTAGCATTTGACTTGGGAGGAGCATGCTCAGCAGACTTCCCAGCCAAGCAGGGCAGCAGCGCAGCAGAGAAAGGACACATGCCACTTGCTGAACGAACAATAGAATATGAAGCTGGCGCAAAGCCTTGCATGGCATCAGCATGCAGAGGGGCAGCAGAGCAGGGCAGGGGTCTTGCAGCGGTCCAGTCAGCAGTGGTGTCTGCAGGGACATATCAGCGGCGACCCTCAGGAAGTGAGCAGCAGCGCCTTGGAGTCAATGCAAGAGCTCTCGGCACCGGCAGGAAAGAACCCCAAGTGGAGGCAGGGTCAGCCCAGGAAGCAAGCGGCCTGGAGCACACCATCAGGGGTGCACCAGCCTCAGATTTGATCGAGCATTGGCAGACAGCATCACCCGCAGGAACGCCATCCATGAACAAGCAAGCACAGCTTGCAGCTCGTGAGTTCAGCATCGCAGCCACAGGGGCTTTTCAGCAGAGGGATGTCATGCCAGCCCTTCTGGACGCCCAGCGCCTTCAGCAGCAGCCAATTTTCACAGGCTCAGCAGCAATGTGCAATGTGAGCAGCTATGTCGACGCCGCAGCAGGAGCAGATGCATGCAATGATTCCCATGGCAACAGCGCCGCCAACACAAGCCCAGGGATGAGTTGCAGCGCGCAAGGCACATCACAACAAGATCCCATGCCTGCCTCTGTGCTCGCAGCGGTCCCTGAGAGCGCAGCCTGCAGTGTTGCATGGAGGAGCAAGCGCAAGGCAGCCTGCCTGGAGCCAGCGCAGACAGGCAAGCTGCATGCGCATGCGGAACCCCCACAGAAGAGAGCTGACAGCTCCCAGTGTGTGCCCCCGCCCAGCTGCCAAGCTTCAGAGACTGCCTCAGAGAGAGGCCCAGTGACAGAGCAGCAGCACCACCACAGAAAAGGCCCGCTTTTGAGCTTTGGTCCTGCCGGCTTCAATTTGGATGCTCCAGTGCAGCGTAGTGATGAACAAGCCAGCCGCAGCGCAGACTTCCCAATGCACAGATCCAAGGATGCATCAGATGAAGGTCCACCTCAGCTGCCACAGCAAACAGCCAAGATTGAGCAGAGTGCACATGCCGCCACAGATTCAAGCCAGCTGAATGAATGTACAACCCAGCTCGCTGCAGCCGCTGGTACAGGGCACAGCCCAGCATGGATGGCTGAGCAGGTCAGGGCACTGGCAGAGAAGTCTGTAGCAGCGCCGCTGCCGGGTGACTGGGAGGGAGGAGGGCTGATTGGGCGCAGCGTTGCCTTTGTGCTGCTGGAGGATTTCGATGCTGGAGGGCAGACCATCTTGCGCGGCATCAAGACTGGCAGGTGCAATCCCTGCTGTTGATTGACACGAGTGTGACTTGTTCTGGAAACCTTGCACTGGCACCTTGCTTGATGATATGCGTGACTCTGTGAATCAACAAGCCCTGCGCATGATGAAATTGGAGTCGGCCTGAGCAAAAAATATTATCTTCCCAAGTGCGAGCGTTTTGTTTAATGCAGGGTGCTTGAGCACATCTCCAGTGACCATGTTGAGGAGATTTGCAGCGCCACATGCTCACAGCAGCACAGCTTCCACTATGTGCGACTCAGCAAGAGCGGTAAGGTCCCGGAACCCCCCTTCTCCGCTGATATTGCCTTGAAGAACCACTGAATGATCGTGTTGGCTTGATCAATTCCTGCATGCTTGCTCTCTGATGTAATATGCTGAAGGACTTGTATTGCCGATGCAGAGCTGACTCAGCAAGGCGGAGCAGGAGTGAAAAAGCGGGGCTTGAAGGTTGACTTGAAGCTGGACCTCCACCCATCTCTGCACCAGAACAACCTGGCAGAACTCCTGAAGCTTCACACAACTGCCCTTCAGGTTGGAGTCAGCGCATTATGAGTCCTGCCCATTGCCGTCCTCACAGCTTGTTTGAAATGTGCACCGTGTTTTTGAGCAAGATGCATGTGCCCAACCAAGATCAAGCAGACTGATGGTCGGGTATATGTTGCAGGATGCATGGCTTTTGCTGGAGCCAAAGAGTCAGGAGATCTGATTGGACCTGTGCTTGCCGCGCGCTGCATGTAATTAATGTCTCGGCCACCAAGGCAGACTCTGTGTCAAGCCCGTCAATGTAACAAGTTCTTACGACATGTGTCCAGTGTGCATGCGCATACCTGCATCATCCTCATCCTTATCATCATGCACGTGCACGCCATCAAGATCGTGGCCTACGTGGTTTGTATGAGCTGCTGCATTAGGCAACACACTGCATCATAATTGAGCACACAGCAGCGCAATAAGCTACTCCGCTCGGGCACCAGCGTTCCGTTGGCAGGCAGAGGGACTGGATGAAGGGATCCTCTGAGGTTGGGCAGCTCTTGAACAAATTCAAACGACAGCTGTGCACAGATGATCATTGATCGCCACAGCATGGCCAAGGTGTGGCCAAGACGCATCGCCCTTAACCCTTGCAAGACCAGGGAGTTCAGGTGGCTGGCGAGGCACTGGGCAAAAGCAGAGGGCATCGCAATAGACATCAGCTTCGGCAGTGTTGTACAGTTAAAGATCGCAAGATACTTGGGAGAGTATGGTCAGCTGCAGCTGCAAGCTGTGTGTATCAGTGCCAGCACAGGAGCCTCCCCCTGTGTACCCATCCTTCCCTTCCTCCATGTAACCCAGGGGACTCTGAACTAACTTTTTTTTGTTGTTTACTTGTTTAGAGTCCCCTGTGTAACCCTCTGGACCCCGATGCCAGTCTGACTTCTAGATAGGGCATCCCATTACATGACATACATCAGGTAAGGAGGGGGGCATGGACTGCTTAGTACGCCCAATACTGAAGGGGTGCAGACGGAGGGGTGGACCAATGTGTTATGGTCTGCCCAAATTCTTTAAAAATCCCGTGGCTTACAAAACTTCATGGTATAAGTGTTCACAGCTGCCCATGGGGAGCTGCCCAAGAAGGGCAGTCGATTCAAATGCAATTGATCTAGAGAAAAAATCCGGGAAAAAATCATGTGCGTTGTGTTTTTTGAGATATCTCAATTACGTTTGCTCAGCTAGTCTGCCGTTGGGTGCAGATCGATTCTAAACAACCTTCGCGATCCTTCATTTGACGTCCATTTTCAGCACAGGGCATGGCCCAGTCGTTTCTCTCCTGATAAGCGTGCGTCATCCAAAGGTTCGTCTTCTTGGCCCTTGCTGTTTAGCAAATTCACTGAAGAGAACGGTATGTCCACAGATATGCGAGCTGCTTCTCTCTTTGTTCTGTGGATGAGATATGCTGATCACTGAAAACCAGCGCTTGGTGTCCACAATAGGTACTTGATCCAATAAATCTCTAAATGACAACTGTGTTTTCATGAAAATTGAGAGCCACTGCAGCTCCGAGAATGAGGTTCAGCAATGACCCAGCAGTCCAGTGATGATGGGTTTTGCATCAGCAGGAAGGACCAATGGATCAGCCTGGGGCCAAGCATCCAATGTTTATGCTACCAGAGGAGATTTGGATTAAAATTCAAGACCTCATGAGCACTGAAGATTGGGCCCTCGCTGCCTGCACCTGCCGCACCATGGCCAGTGTGGTGCCAAGGCGCATCACGCTGATGCCTTACGGACGCGCAGAGTTTCAGTGGCTGGCAAAGCACTGGGCAGAAGCTGAGGCTATAAAGCTGAACCTCAGTTCCATGCGCACTTGCTCGTCAAGGATCCCAAAGTACCTGGGGAAGTTAGGTCAGCTGGAGCTGCAGTCTCTGGACATTGATGACAGGTACAGATGTGCACCTTGGGGGCGTGAGTACTCATCTGATGATGAGGAGGACAGGAATGGAATCCTTGACCTGAACACCTTCATTGATGACCGGCATGTATGGATGATGGACGTCCTGCGGCAAGCACCAAAGCTATCCCTGCTTCGTCTATTGGGCGTACAGTTCAGAGTGCTGTCAGCATCGTCAAGCTTGAAGCACCTGGTCCTGCATGTCCATGAGCGCCTGGAGCTCACTAAAGAAGATTGGGGCTGCTTGCAGAATTTGCACAGCCTGGAAACTCTTGCTGTGGACTATTACGATGCATGCTTTGCCCACAAGGCGCCTGACCTCGACTTAGTGGCTTGCACAAAACTGCAGGCGGTGAACATGAGCCTGGTTCACCCTGCATCTCTTAGTGTGCCGGAAGGGTGCTCGGTTTTCATGAAGGGGGTTCAAGTGGATTATGGGTCTCATTGGCCAGTGATGGCAAGCCTAAGCACTGCCATCCATTTCAAGGAATTCATAGATGTTGACTATACGGACAAGGCTCCAGATCTATCGCATTCCAATGGCTTCTTGTCTAGCACGCCGTGTCCGAACTTAACGTCACTGCGCATTGAGTATGACACTTTTTGCACCTGGGATCACCCCATAGAGATTGGTTCCTGCTTGGCAAACCTGCAGCACCTGACAGTCGTCAGCGGGTCTGTCCATGTGTGCTTTACCAGCGCCATTGCCTTGCAGACACTTGTGATGGATGCTAGAGAGTCTCTGAGTCTGCGTGCGCGCAAAAGGCCTGGAATCAATTTTGTTTCAAGCCTCAACCAGGTCTTTATCCGGTGGAAATTCTGTTGTCCTAGGATCTATGCTCTGATTGGGCTTTTGAAGGTGCCTGTGCTGATGGACCAAGAGGGTGTTAGAGGTGTAGCATGTACGCCTGGGTTCAGCAAGGCTGCCCTGAGATGCACATGTGGCGCTTGCTACGACTGCCTGGGCTGCGGGGAAATGTTCTGCAGCCACACACCTGCATTTCATAGGTATAAGGGAGGGCAGAAAAAATCCTCAAAGAAGAAGAACATTGGATGATTACCACTAGGATTTAGCCAGGGACTGGGAGGGCCTGGCGGGCATGTGCACCGCCTGGAGTTTTGAAGATGAAGATCTGGATGTGATTGCTTTTGAGGATTGATCGTAACGATAAGAAGATTTGGTCATGGAATTTTCCCATTGAAATAGGTGTGTGTCTGGTGGACCTGCAGCAAGTGCCCTTGGTCAGCCGCGCTATTCATGTGAGGTTTACTGCATCCATCTACTTGCAGACATTTGCGGTGTTGACTAGAAAGTGCATCAGCCTCCAGATAGCTCCACCGAAGTTTGCATGCCTGCATCGTTTGATGGAGTCTGGATATGCAGTTGTGGTACTTGCAATATGAGTGCAGGATGCACAGATGCAATGAGACTTCCATGTTTGCTGTAAATTTTCTTTCCCAAAAACGCGCCATCCCATGCAAGACTGTAGCATAGACAAGCTTGTTCCAGATTCTGCTATGTCATGCCATGCGTGCATGTGCTGGTATGCTCTAAAGACTTGGGTTGCCGTCTAGTATGACACTGCCAGTGGACCCTATGCCCTTGTTTCTTCAAAATTTCCTCCTAATATTATTCAGATTACACCCAAGATTACACACAAGAACACAAGATTAATCAGCATGTTGTGTTACACAACTTCTGTTCAGCCCTATACCCGCTGCAACATTTTGCTTGTCATGCAAGATACACACTGCAGCACTCTGCAAGTAAGTGTTGAATCGGAAGTGTCCTGACAAATGAGTGATGGTCAGTTGCAAGGCTTTTGAGTCAAGGATATCGAGGAAATTTTGTAAAGTCTGGGGGCCGTTTCTCCAGGTATGCCCGCCTCCCTTCATTCCCTTCCTCTGTCTGGTAGAACAGCAGTGTTGCATTGCCCCCGAGCTCCTGAATGCCAGCCTGCCCATCCTCCTGCAATCCCCAATACCCACAAGTGACAATCCTGACCCTCATCATGCAGCGTCGAGAAAATCCAAAGTCACACTCCTTCCGTGCCAGCGAACAATCACAGCAGCAGGCTTTGATCTGTGCAGGATGGACGCAGTCAAAGCAGTCAAATGCACCATCTCAAGAACACATGAAGCATAGCAGCAATGAAACGGCATCAGTGCAGCATGGAATGCATTGGACAAGGAGATCCAGCAGGGTGCACACCGCAGCATTGAGTGCGGCTTTGAGCACTCTCAGGGCGGTGGGACTGTTCCTGAGAATCTCCCTGCACCAAACGAGAGTCTCCTCCTCCAGCCTCTCCAAGGGGACCACGGTGTTTATAAGCCCCATGTCCAGCGCCTGCAATGCACCAGCCAAATGATCGCTGCACCACCCAGAACGCACTGGGCCAGACCTGCATGCAATTCCCAATTTCCCAATGAAATTTTTCACACCCCCTTTCCTTAAACTCCTCAAACCTCAATTTGCTATGGAGCCTGTAAGAATCTCATGAGATCCATACAGCAAAATATCTGCAGTATCAGGGACCTGAGCACGTCGGAGCATTAAAAATGGCTGAGAGACCTTAGTGGATGGACAGGTGGACAAAAGTCTACTAGCTCCTATGCCAATTGCTGCTTTTCCTGTTACTGCCGCCGGACATCTGACTCATGCCTCTCATACCTTGTTCAGCATTGCTTCCTTGGGACATTAACCAGCTACAAGATTTCAACATATTTATAACTGCGCACCTGTTGTGCATTGTACAGGCGCGCTAGGAACCAGATCTCTCGCGCCTTCTTCTGCCCAACCAACCGCACCATCTGAGTCGACCCATAGCCTGCGTCAAAGCTGCCCACTTTGGGGCCCGTCTGCCCAAAAATTGCATTCTCCGCAGCTATCTGCATGCATGCGAACAAAAGCATTTATCAACAATCGCCTGTCCAGAGACTGCCTGTGTCTGATGTTGCTGCAAGCATCTAGCAACATGCGATTGCGGTCAATGGGCATGCAAGGGAGGAGCGAATTCGGAAGATGGGGAGATCCTCAAAACTTTGTGTACTGTCAAAAGAGAAGGTCAGAGAGGGTCTGTGATGGTGGACTCACCGTTATGTCGCACATCATCTGCAGGATCTGCCCCCCTCCCACAGCATAGCCGGCCACCATGGCTATCACCGGCTTGGGCAGCCTCCTGATCTGGACCTGCGTCATGCAGCACCTAGTTGCATCCTGCTACCTTACAAGTCTATGAAGTCAACATCAACAAGCACCTTTAATAGCGCACTTTGAACTTAGGCACTGGAAATTTGCAGTCACAGCACAGGCAAATTCAGAGGTCAGCCAAAAGTGGCTGCTGAGGCCCATTAGTAAGGAGGTGCATGCCTGCAGGTCCAGGACATTCAGACGGGGGATTTTGTCAGGCCCCACATAGCCGCCCTCTCCCCGGACACTCTGGTCCCCCCCACTGCAGAACGCCTTTGCTCCTTCCCCTGCATGCAAGAGTAGAAACGCCCTTGTCAGTTGCACGTTATGCATTTTGCAAGCTTCTTGCATGCTCGGCAAGCAATTGGAGCACCAAGGGTTGCATGAAAATGATTCCTCAGAGTGTGCAGGGCAGGCGCACATGAAACAAGGTCATTGCAATCTGTTGAGTTGCAGATAACTTAATTAGGTGTCTGAACCACTGTTGGTTTCATAGTTGCAGTGCAAATTTATCCAAACAGTAAGTCCTCAACCTTATTCGGATGACCTTGATAGGGCTCATGAGGCAGCCCTATCTAGCTGACTCTCTCTGCAAGGAGATGAGAGGTCAGATGTACCTGTAAGGATGACGACGCCAATGTTTGGGTCATCCCTGGCATCGCTAAAGCAGCGCATCATCTCCTCTGTTGTCTGCGGCCGGAAGGCATTTCTCTTCTCTGGCCGGTTGATGGTTATCTGCATGCATGCGCACATGAGATCCCTCTCCAAGATATCTTGCATGCTGCACATTGGACATTGCCACATGCACATTGCCACGTGAAACACATGTGCTGTTTTACAGCAAGGCAGCCCTTTCTGACGTTTGCTCTGCCTTAATGTCAGCATTCCCCTTTCTCTAATTCCCTCTTCAAGATGGCTGCAGTGCTGAGGAGTGCACATCTGAACAGGGACACTTGAGTGTTGAAGAGACAGGGAAGGGGACGAGGAGAATGGTGCTGACCTTCGCAATGCCCTCGTCAGCCTTCTCGTATCTGACATCTTCAAGCGTCTCGCCGTGCACCACAGGAATGTTCCTCCAAGCTGCTGGCAGCCTTGACACTTTGCCATGCACCCTGCAGCAGATTGACTTAGCTGATTGATTGCCTAAATTACACTGTGGTATACTACGATCATGCAGGGTCCTTCTAATAAGGATGCTGCCGTGAGTGACGCTTAATTGGAGGCACCTTTCGTATGAAGAACTGGCAGTGTTGGATTGCTGGAGCGAGCTGCTGGTGGACGCTTCAGTAGCTAAAAGTACGGGTTGCCTGGAGTTCTCTTGACGTTCCTGCACTGGATTCAGGTGCGCTGCTAGCGTTTGGACTCTCCTGGTCTGAGGATCGCCCATTTGATCTGAGTGAAAACAGGCAGTATTAGCGCGCCAATACCTAGATATTACCGTCAATATCTCGGACACGTTATTATCAGTAAACCTGCATGGCTTCAGGTAGAGCACTTGGTCCCTTCACAGGTAGTAGTGCACATGTCTAAGTATAGAAACCACTTTCAACAAGCAGCGATATGCACCCGAGCAGTAAGTGGCAATCAAACTAAAGACTGTCACGAAGTAGGGCTTGAGAGAGAATTTACAGATGTCGATGAAGGAAGCAAACGAGTGTAATCATCTTGATCATCAATGGGGACGTCGAGGACCCTATCGCTCACCCCCTGTTGAAAGGGTGATATAATATCAAACTCTTGATTCTCTTGCATGCCATAGAATGAGATGTTTGCTTGACTACGAACTTCAGATGATGCCTGCAATGTCATTGATGTGTCCAGGCCATGTGAGCACTGCAAGTAAGCTCATATTTTACAAGGGCTCTGGCAATATTGCGCGCTGCCAATTTGATCAACGCGGTCACCCAGTTGGGCCAACACCGTTGACTGGCATCCATACAAGGACAGTGCAGCTTGTGAGGCTTCTGTTTCAAAAATATTGGGTCACTACAAGGTACTGGTCCCAGTAGCTTTACTAGACTGCACTTTGTGTGGGTTCTCGGCCCTTCCTTGGACTGGATTTTCCACGCCTGCCACAGTTATCCCCCTTCCCTTTTGCCATCTGCGCGAAGATGCACACTGATCAATTTACGCAGGTTCCCAACCTAATGTCATGGTTTGCACAATGACAAGACTTCAGACCTGAGCAGCAACTGCTGTCTAAATTCCATGAGCCTGCAAGTCGATCGATTGCAACAAGTGTAGCAAACCATGCACAGCAATCCCAGTAGTAATCCCAGTACACATCGAGTCGATCTAGCATTCCGTGGGTTTCACCTTTTACTCTTGCACCTGCGCGCACCTTTCCAAACACCCTTGCAGCCTTCTGCGCTTTATGGAGGTACATCATCATGCCCTGTGATTTGGCGCCCCGCTGGCGCTCTTGCCTTCTTTCCTTATGTCTTGCACTGCCTGTGGGAGTGCCTGCACCCAACCCAAATTTGGTTTGACTCACATGCAAAACCTGGCAGGGTCTTCTCACGTGCACAAATACACCCAACATGCTCCATCTGCCCAAACAGCAAGGTGGGTGTACACCTACATGTCCATGTATTTGTAGACCAAGTGGGTATGACAAGACATGCAGCACACATCTCTGTTATTCTGTTCTCAGGCTCCACATAAGTGAGGGAACTAATCAGCATGCACCTGTATCAGAAAGGACGTCCAGAGATGAACTGGCGGCTTGGGAAGCAGTTGCGCGCTGTATTGTGCCTGTCTGAGTTTCCGAGGCAAGAGAGCCAGGGGTGTCCTCTCTCATCAGCTGAGCTGCCTCAGCCGCCCGCTTCATCAGCTTATCCTCTGCCTGCAGATTGAGAACAATTGCGATTACTATGAGAGCTTCCTGACTCTTCTAAAAGATGAAATCGTGAATTTTTTTCTCTGCATTACAAGTGTGCGGAAGTGGTTGGCTGAAGCTTTTTTCCAAGCATTTTAAAAGCATCAATACCGGCCTCCAAGCTGCAGCAACGCAGACACCTTCGGGACTTTATTGACTTGAATTGACCTGCAGCCAGAAAAGCACAACACAACACAGAATTTTGTACTTCTTGTCGCTGTAATCCCTGGCTGGCTTTGTCTCGATCAGAGTAGTCTTGGTTGTCATGCGATGCAAAGGGGGGAAGTCTGTTCTGCGCGCCTTGTCAAAGACCTTCTTGGCCTTCCGCATGACCGGCTGCAGTTGGGCTTCTACGCCCTCTAGCCTCTCCATCAAACTCGCCCTCGCCTCAACATTAACCTGGTGTATAACAGCATGATCCTTGTCTTAGAAAGAAGTTCTCAGCACACACTTTTTTGAGAGTGTACTTCTGTGACCAGTGCTGGCCCTCGCCTCAGCATTTGCCGGCATGAAATCTCATTTTGACATACACCCAAGTGAGGTGTACGTTCACTGTACACCCTTTTTTAAGTCTCCTCTTGGTACACAACTTATTCCTATATAGTATATACACTATTTTATATTGCATACGATGTTTGAGATCTCTCCTTACTAATGAGTCCTCAGTGTGCGCCTATTTCTAGAGTGCAGTTGCTTGAAAAGAGATTGCTTTCATCATGAAAGTTTCATGCAAAAAAAGATCTTCTGTATTGCCATGTAAGTCTAGGAGCTTGAGCGCACCAGTTTGGGGCGGTGGAACAGGGATGATGAAAGCCAGGAAAAGATGTCTGTGTTGACGCGCCGTGCCATGAAGGCAATGCACAGCAACGCCAGAATCAGATTATAAGCCACCAGCGCTGCTAATGCTGCGTCAATTGGCAGTTCTGCCCTGCAAAAAACTGCTCCACAGCTCAGAAATGGTACAACATAACCTTCCAGCCCACCTCTCCTGAATCAACCCAATTTAGAGTTCCCTAGTCTCTGGTTTGCAATATCAATAAAGTGTGACTATGCCAGCAGAGACTCTGATCATTGGATGCAGCTATTGCTGCCATTGATGTATTTTCTGGTGCATTAAGTTTGCAGTGTACACACCTCTGTAAGAGGACGGTGCACAGAAGCGCATTGCTGCAGAGGACGGCCAATATTAGCACAACCCAGAAAATTGTTAGGCAGAAGATGCGCGCAGCTAGGTCTGCTGCCAGGAATGCTGCGGCTGACAGGGGCTGCACTGCGCGCTGCTGTGGCTCTGATTTCTCGGATTCCCTGCTGTCTGTTTCTCGCTCCATTTCATTAGGATAATCAGGGACCTACAGTTGGACAACGGAGGTGAGGTCATTCGGAATTTGTGACCACAAACAGGATGCGGAGAAATGACGCTGGCGGGCTTGCTAAAAAATTTCATTTTGGTTGAGACAGGCGCCTTCTGGGGCAGTAATGGCAACATGTCCGATAAGGAGGGGTATTAAAAGTACCTGGACGGCGCCGGCGATCTCGGCTTCAGCCTCTGCGGCGGCCTGAAGCTGGTAGCTGGTTCGCCAAATTCTTTCTTGGTGTTGTAAGTACGGAGTGGGCGAGTTCCTCTGCGATCCTGTGGGATCCTGGTCACATGCATGGCTTTGGCCCAGAGGATTGTCTCGTACATGAAAGCTCTCAACCACCAACGACTTTATTTGCAACCCTTCATCAACAACCTGCATCCTGTCCTGAAGAGCATCCGGTGCGACCGCTGCTCTCACCGACATCACTTCATTGGTGCGCAATCGCTGAAAGCATCCCTGGCGTGTGTTGGAGGCAAATTATTCCTGAATTGGTTTATTATGGCTCCAAATTTTTACAATTGCTCGCTTCGTGTGGGCGCAGCTCTTCGAAACGCCCAACTCGAAATTGAAACCGCTGTCGAAACCCTACCAAGCCCTCGAGTAGTTAGTCAGCGGCCCGATCAAACTGGCAATCAGTGATCTCGACAGCTCTGGCCGAAGCCTGTTTCTAGCCTGAGCAAAGTTGTACATAGATTGGAATCGCAACAACAAGAACTGGAAACGCAATTGTTTTGGACAGCCGTTGGGTGCGTGAACCGGGCTCCGATCGGGGGTGCTTAGGCACAGAGTTTTGAGCAATTTCTCCTCTTCGATGGTGTTGGTTGACAATGTAATCAAATAATCTCATGTCTCATGCAACCCTGGCGCTTTGGAGCGTCTAACGGCTGTGGGTTTGCCGGCTTTGGAGGCTACCTTGCGGGCATCCGTTCTTGGAGGTGAACGCGTTTTCCTCACTTAATACTGACCTGGAGCAAAAAGTTGGAAAAAGACGACATATTGATGAGGCAGAACTACCTTTTTTGCTGGCAAATTTGCGAATGTCTCTTGGCTAGATCTGTGGAGAATAGATCAATTTAGTAAGGTCAGTACTAGAGCAGGCATTTGCTCTTGCTAGCCTTTGCATCGGAACCCAAGGCCTTTACTCAAACTTCTGAATTTGTGTGAAAGAAATGTGCTCATACCACTGATGACCATGAGCGCTTTGCAAAATACAGGAAGGTGCTAGCAGGCTTCCAATTGGCTGAGGCGACCCCAGTAAGGCCGATGAGGGGGCATCAGAAAGGGCATTGTGCGCTGCGATGGTGCACGATAGTCCTGCTTATTTCCCTCTGCCTGGCAGGTACAAGTCTTTCACCCCTTGCATCTCCCATCTGCAAATGTCCAACGCTCTGCATGGACATCAGCTCACTCGCAGAAGCTCACAGTGTAGACACAGCATGTCAGAGCTAAGACTGCCTCTACTTATGAAGATGGTCTCTGGTGCAGGATTAGTAGCAGGAAAGGCAGACAGCAGAGCGTCGCTGCAGCAGAGGAGTGGGCTTCTGGAGAGGTTAGGGGGAGCAGGCACGCTGAGCAGACCGGACTCATTTCTGAGGAGGCTACTGGTCAAGCCAGTGGCGTCTGTGAGCGCGGACGCAGAAGATGAGGATGACTTAGCATTAGAAGATGAAGAGGATGACTTAGGAGAGGATGACTCGCTGGGCATGCCACAGCAGGGTGAGCATCTCACCATCACAGTCAGGCTTAGGAGTATCAGAGCAGACAAGCAGCTGTACGAGCGCTGTCAGTAAAGGAATTTGTGCTCGTTTGACCATGGTCAGCGAGTGCATGATTTCCCAGGGCTCTTATAATGGGTCTGAGAAGGCGCCCATTGACAGCGAGTCTCCTCCGTGCTCTTTAAGCGCAAAGTACAATCATGCATTATCTGCACTTGCAGATGTTGGAAGTGCAAACCAGTTGTGGCTTGAGGTGAGGCTTGAGGATTGTATACAAATACAAATTCAAATGTGTTCATGCAGATGAAGAGGATGATGAGGTAACGCCGCCGTTGAAACCGCTGAGCAAGTCTGCGGCGACGGCCGGCAAGGCAGCTGCCGCGAAGCCGCCGGTGAAGAAGGCAGCAGCTGCATCACCGCTCAAGAAAGCTGC